CAGCTTTTTAATTTACTGTTTCCACACTGATTTAAAGTGCGGTGTTTTTTTTATATCCTAAATCGTCAGTTATGTTTTTATTTGTTGTTGCCATGTACACTTAAGTAATCAAATTTTAGGTTCACCTATTTGTTAAATTTGTGTTTTAAATATTTAATTATGGTATATTTAGGAGGAAATATTTATTGCCTCCTAAGTTATGACATGTATGTTTAAAGAATAGAACTTGATGTAATGGTAATAAAAATAAACCTCCAAAGTTGGAGTCAATATTATACAATGATCTGAAATATATTGTAATTATCTTGCAGTATTATTTTGGTGACTTCAATTTGCCACGGGACAAATTTTTAAAGGAACAAATTAAACTGGATGAAGGCTGGGTACCTTTGGAAATAATGATAAAATTCAATAGGTAAAAACTTTTTAAAAACCGTCTTTAGATTTTCTGTTAACAAGTGCTAGTACTAAGTCTTACAGTGCTTTCATACATATCCTTCAGGTTAAACCGTCTAACAACAGACTTTAATGTAATAGTAGAAGCATTGAGCAAATCAAAGGCAGAACTCATGGAAATAAGTGAAGATAAAACCAAAATCAGAAGATCTCCAAACAAACCCCTCCCTGAAGTGACTGATGAGTATAAAAATGATGTAAAAAATAGATCTGTTTACATTGTAAGTGGGCCTTTAATGCATTTAATTATATCTTAAATTTAGAAAGAACAAATAGAGTTGGTAAAAATAAGGGCTCAAGAATCATAACTTCACTACTTACTCTATGTCCCTCACCACCTGGTACGTGTTCTTAACCTGTTTAAGCCTTATCTTCATAAAAGGGGATAATATTTTTACCTTATAGAACTGTTGTGACAGTTAAATGAAATACCCATATTCTACTGGACAAAATCTTTAACATATTGTAAGCACCCAGTGCATATCACCTGTTCTTATTTATCATCAGCTGAACTTGAGAGCAGTTTCCTTTAGCATATTGATTTTTAAGTTCTTTTTTATTCTGGAAAGTTTCAGACATGCAAAAGTAGATTGGATATATACCATTATCCAACTTCAATACTTATTAACACATGATTAATCTTGCATTATTGCTGCCCCAGTTGGATTATTTTGAAACAGATCCCAGATGAAAGCTGCTTTTACTGCATTGGAGAACAAAGGCTCTTAAATCAGAGCTGTTAAACATTTTGGAGGCAGGGAGGGAGAGGGAGGTAGACACAGCCTGACTTTATTCAAAACAAAATGACTCAGAATTTCTGCCTGACTCTTTACCTGAGAAGTCATTTGTATATTTCCTATTTACAGAAAGGCTTCCCTACTGATGCAACCCTTGATGACATAAAAGAATGGTTAGAAGATAAAGGTCAAGTACTAAATATTCAGATGAGAAGAACATTGCACAAAGCATTTAAGGTATGGTTGTATCATATAACAGACTGTTTAGTTGAAAAATATATGGGACATAACTTAAAAAAAATCTTTCTTTCCCTTTTAAAAGGGATCAATATTTGCTGTGTTTGATAGCATTGAGTCTGCTAAAAAGTTTGTGGAGACCCCCGGACAAAAGTACAAAGACATGGATCTACTAATACTTTTCAAGTAAGCATTTTTGCTGATGTTTCTTTTGGCCACTTAGTTATATGGAATTGATTGGGATAAGGAATATGGAATAGGATCTTATCTAATGCTAGTAGTTTTGGTAACCTTTGATTTCTCAAGACTGCCTTTGAGAAATGCTTGAAATTTGCTTACCGGAAACTCTTAGTCCTTTGAGAATATACAGTAGTGTTTATTAGTACCTTTTTTCTGTTAGCAATTAATAAAGAAGGTTAAGTTTAAGTACTTTGCATCTAAAACTTATAATTAGGCTAGATACTAAAATTTGGGCTTTCGGTGTTAGAGGATAAAACACTGCAACTTTTATCTGTTCTTATTTCTCATAGTCTGTATATGCCTATATTTTTATATAGTACAGAGGATTATATAATAAGAGATTTGGATCACACTCTTTAATATATGTGTCTAAAAACTTGGACTAACCAGAGCATTTTCATGATGAAGTTAGATGTGTGACCATAGTTTCCTACTTTCCCATTACACAGTATTCTAATTATGCTCTGTACTAAACCTCGTGTACCTAGGGATGCACTGTGATGAATTGCTCAGTGTTAAGCCCTCAAAAGCATTTTTTAACATGATTTTATAATTGTTCTTATTCTTGGGTCTCAGGGATTGTAGAATTTTCTCCTTTTGTGAAATGAACACTGTGGAAAACTCTAAAACATTAAAATATTTTATGTAACTTCTGGTTTACTTTTTTTTAATACTTGGATGATATGTGAAAACCAACATGAGATGTAGGGTTTCTTTTCAGGGTCATGAAAATGTTCTGAAATTAGATAATAGTGATTGATAGTTGTACAATCTGAATAAATGAAACAGCATCAAATTCTATACTTTAAAACAGTGAATTTTATAGTATGTGAAATATTTTTTAGTAAAACTTTTAATAAAAAAAAATTGAATAACTTCCTTGACACCTTTTGAATTTTGTTCCCCGTCTTAATCATTCAAAATAATTTGAAATCTTTGTTCTCATAAATTTAGCCTCTATATTTTGTGTCCTTTAGGGAAGATTACTTTGCAAAAAAAAATGAAGAAAGAAAGCAAAATAAAGTAGAAGCTAAATTACGAGCTAAACAGTAAGTAAATAGAACTACTTAACTTTTTTTTTAACCCTCACCCGAGGCTTTTTTAATTTTAGAGAGAGAAGAAAGGGTTAATTAAGAGAAAGAAACATTGATTGGTTGCCTTCCCTAAGCACCCTGACCGGGATCGAACCCGCAACCTTTTGGTGTATAGGACGATGCTCCAATCAACGGAGCTACCCCACCAGGGCTAATAGAACATTTTAATTCCTTAAATCTTTGACAAAGGTAGATAGTAGTTCTGGGAAGTGAAGCTCATGATTACCTCTGAGATGAGTAGCAATAGGCCTTTCTTTTGCTCATGAAACATTGAGGTCTTAAGCTGCAGTGATAATCTGGGGTCACATTGTGTTGCACTGTAGCATTGGACAATCAGAAATCCTAAGACTGGCTTTGGTTATTAAATAGTTTAGAGATTGCGATCAAGATTAACTTTATTGGGATTTAATTTTCTTGTATATAGTAAATGGAAACATTCAATTACATTTTTATTTGTAGAGAGCAAGAAGAAAAACAAAAGTTAGCAGAAAATGCTGAAATCGTAAGTATATATTACTGGTATTTAAGAAATCTATAATTCAAGCCTATGAGAATAAAAGTTCTGAAGACTTTTCACAGAAAATCTGTAAGCATTACATTAAAGTAATAGCCAGGTACTATTGCCTAAAATTATTCTTTATCCAGAGATAATTTAAGAACCGGATTTATATAACTAAAATATATAACTAAGTATTATTTGTTGGAGAAGTTAAATCAGAAGCCATTGCAGAACAAAGGATGACAGGAAATACACCCAACTGTTAATTAAACTACTCAAAATAGCGTTTTAGTTTCTAGCCTTTTCCTTGTATAGGTATAGAGTGGTGTAAGCCATTTCTGATTTGTGGTTGCTTTTAAGAAACTTCTATTGCCTTTTATATTTTTATAGAAATCTCTAGAAGAAAAGATCGGCTGCTTGCTGAAATTTTCGGGCGACCTAGATGATCAGACCTGTAGAGAAGATTTGCACATCCTTTTCTCAAATCATGGTGAAATAAAATGGATAGACTTTGTCAGAGGAGCAAAAGAGGTTTGGAAACAGTTCTACCAATGTTGAAAAATCCATAGAAATTTATCTTTTAGATGAAGTAATTAGTGGAGAGAGCAATTTTTTAAATTACTGTGTTGAGAATAGTTTCTGTTTAATCATTTACTTGTCCATTTTGTTATTGCTGTAACTCCATGTGATATCTGATTGTTTTCTGTTATGCTGTGAATAATTGTTGGATCAGTGACTGCAAGTTTTGTAGCATTTCTCTTCCTGATGTTCACCAAAATTCATTGAAAGTGGTAATGGCATGGAAAATTTTGCAGTCTAGGAAAAATTACTTCGAAGGAATTAACTGTGGGACCAAAAACTTAAGGGTGTGGCTTCTTGTCTTTGATGTAGGGGATAATTCTATTTAAAGAAAAAGCTAAGGAAGCACTGGATAAAGCCAAAGATGCAAATAATGGTAACCTCCAACTAAGGAACAAAGAAGTGACATGGGAAGTACTAGATGGAGATGTGGAAAAAGAAGCATTGAAGAAAATCATGGAAGATCAACAAGAATCCCTGAACAAATGGAAGTCAAAAGGTCATTAGTTATTTTTCTGACAATTTGGTTATTTAAAATCATTTGCTTGAGTAGAAATTGTAATTATGTTCAAAGACAAGAGATTTAAAACATTTCTGTACTGATCTCTCAATTGTCTCTGCAGGTCGCAAATTTAAAGGAAAAGGAAAGGGAAATAAAGCAGCCCAGACTGGGTCTGCTAAAGGAAAAGTACAGTTTCAGGGCAAGAAAACTAAATTTGATAGTGATGATGAACATGATGAAAATGGTGCATCTGGTAAGTTTTTCTAAGTCCTTTGCTACTTTCATGAGAAATTATTTGTGGGAGAGAACTGTGATGTGGTTTTTCAGTTTCTGTGTGAATGACATTCTTGGATTGTGATTTATTCCAGTTACACTGTTTTACAAGTGATAACAAGGATGTTTAGAAGATAAGTTTAGAGAGCAGAACATTTGCACTAAAGAAAAAGCCTTTCTTATTGGTAATTATGCTCAATATTAAAATAGAGTAACCCTTACAGTGAACCTAAAAATTATTTCTTTTACTGTTATAGGACCAGTGAAAAGAGCAAGAGAAGAAACAGACAAAGAAGAACCTGCATCAAAACAGCAGAAAACAGAAAACGGTGCCGGAGACCAGTAGTTTAGTAAAAAAAATTTTATTAATTTTAATTAGGTTTTCAGCTGCTTTTGTCTTTGGAGGCTTTTAAAAAGAAAACCGAATTAGGTCCACTTCAATGTCCACCTGTGAGAAAGGAAAATTTTTTTTTTGTTTAGCTTGTCTCTTTTTGTTACCCAAATGAGGATTTTTTTTGATGTACAGTTCTATGTTATTTCAGATAATTCAAATATCAAAAGAAAGATACTTGTACTAAATTGCCTTTGTAATATGAGAATGTATTAGTAAAAACTAATAAAATATACTATGTAAAAAGAGCAAAAGCTTAGTTTATTATTATTATTATTATTTTGCCCAAAGTATTTGAGAAAGATTTTATCTTAAACCAGAGTATTGGCTGTTGATTATAGGCCATTCCATAATCTGTCTCCCAGGCTGGCTTTCTGTATTTACTTGGGCAACTTGATAACATTAGAAATAGTTACTTACTACAAAGTTCAAAACACTTACTGATTTCTTTTTATGGAATTTGTATGATGCTGGCAGGTCATATCTCAGCTCTAAAAAACAAACAAAAAAAGTCACTTAAGAATAAAATTCTATTTCCAAGCATTTACCACCTGTGACTAAAAACCACCCCATGAATTAAAGCACCAAATGCTGTTAAACTGAAGATTTTGGACCTGTCACTTTAACTTGGTATCCAAGGACTGCCGTGATGTATCCCCAAGATTAGCCATGGCAGGTTGAGTTTGGCATTTCTGCTATTTTGGTCATTTATACCAAAATTTGAGCTTATGGGGAAGAGTTTAGAAGGATAACAAGTAGACAAAAATGTATACCCTATGAAAATGACAGTACCTTCCTATTTTTAATTTCCTAATCAATAGCTAGCAATTTCGTAACTATGCTTATTTAAAATTTTGTCCAGGTTTTAGTAAACGTAGTAACTAGCTAATTATTTTTCTACTAAACTCAATGAAAACCCACTTTTTCATATTCTTTCTAAAAAATAATGTAAGCTCTCCAAACTTACACTGCTGATCCATTTCAGAGGGATGACTGAGTCTACCTACCCCGTCATATTTTACAACATAAATTCTAACTCTAGGTCATAGCTCTCAAATTTTAATGTGCAGTCGAAGCACCTTCAAATAAAATATTGTTGAGATGCAGGATATAATTCAGTAGGTTTGGGCAGAGGCTAAAATTCTGCAAGTCTTACAAGCTCCCAAGGAATGTCAACACTGATGATCTAAGGACCACACTTGGAGTAGTAAGGCCTTGGTTTGGTATACTACTGGATCTGTTCTAAGGTGCTCTGTGTTGCATATTCTCGTACCTTAAACTACATAAGGAATGACAATACTGAATATACTAGGAGGATTGGCCTTTCACACATTACTGATTATTAAGAACAGTAACATCTAGTTAAATGGTGATACCATAGTTTATTACCGTGTAAAAAACATTGCCCCATTTATCGTACTCTTAATTTCAGGCTTTTCAAAATTGGATTACAGTTAGCTTCTCATCGTATGCTTTCCCCATTTTGATGTTTGTGAATATTATCCAATTTACTAATAAAAATGTAATAAGCATGATTTACTCAGTGTGGATGACTATATTCTATCCCCCACTTAAAAAAAATTATTTGACTTCAGGGGCAATTAGAAAATTGAAATAGGTAATCCAGGCATAATCTGGTGGTATTTTCCAAAAATGGATTTCACACTGAGGTCTGACCAAGTCTTAAACCCAAGCTTTTCAGTCACTCTGAAACTGTATGGTTATATCTGAGCCTGGAGTGACGAAATGCTTGGGTACTATTAGAGATTATTAGTAAGATGCGTACATAAATTGGGACAGTCTTGGCAAACATTAATACTCTGCCTTTACTCCATTTGCTGCCTATTACCAACCATATCCATTTGCCACACTAAAAAAACATGATTTACAGTATCTTCTCAGTAGCGTTATAAAAATTTGGGTTTGGCTAATGCATTTGGCTTTTAGATAACTGAAATTTGTTTTATGAGAAACTTAAAAATTATCTTACCTGCAATGATGTCTATCTTGACTTTCCATTCTGTAGCTTTCTTTTGAATATGCTGAACATAATAACATGTTAATGGGAACTGATCTTTAAATTTTTAAAAAATTTCTTTTTATTAATACTTGGTATTAACTTTTCAAGCTTTTAAAACTTCATAAGAACTTAGAACCTTAAATTTTTTCAACTGAATGGATAGTACTGGAAAACCAAGCCATTTCAATATATTTAACTGAGACAAATTACATAGTTAAATCAAAATCACGAAGCTGTTATTTCAGAAATACATCAAAGTGCACAATGTACTCAAATGGTTTTTGCAGCAGTATTTCATCAATGTATATGAGTATAACTGTCCTGGAAACCACGCAGCAGACAATTGCAATATACATGGGCAATTTAGCATCAGTATGGTATAGTAGTTAAGAACATGGTCTCTGGAACTAGACAGCCTGCCCTTGAACTGCTGCTGTGCTACTTACTGGCTTTGTAACCCTGAGCTACTCATTCTTTTAGTGCCTCAGTTCCTCATCTGTTAAATGAAGACTGTAATGGTATCTCTCATCAGATTGTTGTGGAATATGAAAAGTGCTTTGAGCTTTCCTGACACACAGTACTAAATGTTAACACTTTATAGGTCTATAATTCTTGAGTCACTTCATAAAATTTTTGATCAATTTGTTATAAAAATTGCTTTATGAATTTTTAAAATAATATATACACTTCAACACTAATAGAAATGGAAAAAGGTTGCATATAATTCCTTAAATAAATCATGTATATATTTTCTAGAAATACTAGAAATCTAGAGATTTCAATATTTGGTATTAAAAGCATTTTGTTCATTTTGGTAATGTTCATTTAACTTGGTTGACATCAACTTGGTTGATAAAATACTTGCTTCCCTAAATTATAGGTTCAAATATTCCCGTTATAAATAATAGTGCCAATATGTTTATGCAGTTGTTTTCTTGAATTTAATACTCCCAGCTTTGCACATATTTTCCCATTTTGAGATCTAGAATTTCTGTATAAGGATACAGACTTTAATGCAAATAATATTGTAATTTAATGGACTCTCAGGATCTTTGATAAATTTGTAAGAAATAAATTATGATGGCATTTCTTTGCTAGCTGAGAGTCTTTAGACATTAGCTTATACAATGTAATATGGATGGTTCTGGCAGAGATGTCAAAGAATGAACGGGTAAGTTTGGGATTGATTTAGAGAAAACAGTCTCTGGCTGATCTACTTTGCTTTAACTGTGAACCAAGGACTAAATTCTCACAATGCCTAATGAAGAAAGATATGGCCACAGCCTTGAGAGTTATACTGCCTATTAGCATATCTGCCAGGATACTTATATTTTACTTAACTACTTCTATCAAGAAATTACTCTATACAAAGGTACCTATATTATAAATAGGAGGCTAATCACTTGTAAAGACAAAAGGTCTACAGTTAAGAGGTATGGGGTAAGCTCCAGTGACAATGTGCTAATTATATAGAATATTTAAAACAAGTAAAACTACCACAAACTTAGCAGGGATTGTCTCAATATCAGTTCATTCCTCACCATACCTCCTTCATGTATGCATAATAAATACCAGATTAATTTTGTAAATTAATTACTGTACTAATGGGAATATAACTGTCTAAATAAAAAATGTACTTTAATAGATGCTTAAAATTCAACTATTAAGCCTGCCAAGGCAATGCTGATAATGCTGCCTCTTAGTGGTGGGACATGGTAATACCAAACAGCAAAGATGGGAGTTCCTTGGTGATGTGGCTACAGGAATTCACGCCAATAATTAGACTTTGCTGCTTACTGCATCTTTTACTAGCATATTTTACTTGGTCTGCATGAATTGTATTATGAGTAACATAAACTTTGTTATTTCAAGCTGTGCAGAAAAGAGTTCAGAGCAAGCTGGACTGCTTACCCTTAGAAAAGGCCTGCATTTAAAGTTGGCTCCTGACTGGAATATGGGAACTTAGATTTTGGGAGTGTTTCCATTCCCCATCAACTTAGCTGATAAGCACACTGTGCTTACACTTTACGCTGAATAACTGTTTTGCTACTGAGAGTTTGGAATCTGAGCTTGTGCTGGGCAGGGGCTAGGGGTGCTTAAGTGGTCATTCCTCAATAAACATCCTGGGCACCAAGTCTCTCATGAGCTTCCTCAATTGACAGCGTTTCACATGCCTGTCACAAAAATTTGCTGCTGGGAAAAATCAAGTGCATCCTGTGTGACTTCACTAGGAGAGAACTCTGGAAGCTTGAACCTGATTTCATGGACTTGGACTTATGCACCTTTCCCTTTGCTGATTTTGCTCTGTATCCTTTAGCTGTAATAAAACATATCTATGAGTATGACTGTATGCTGGGTCTTGTGAGACGTCCTTGAGATTCACCAAACCTGAGGATGGTCTTGAGGACCTCCTCAACACAAACTTTTTAGATACCAGTAATTACTGGTGTTTACTTTCACATTTTCAAATGGAGATTTATTTACCAGTAAAGTTATGTTATATTCTGCTGCTTATCTACATTTGGTACCAGTCATTCTTAGCAGTATATATCTTTTAGCCATGTTATTTTTTTAAAGGGTTATTAGATTACCATATATCCAGAACTTACTGTTTCCAACTGGATTCCAGTATACTGTATTTATACAAATATTTTTACTACAAAACTACTTTAAAATCTCTTAATACACGTATTATTTAAATTATAGCTAATAGCAATTACATATTTCAGAGACTGTTCTAAGAGCTCTGTAAATATTAACTCACTTAATTCTCACAACAACCCTCAAAATATAAGGTACTCTTTAGTTCCTTATACTATAAGAGTACAGGTAAATGCAGTATAGGTGATGAAACTGAATTCAAATACTTTGACCAAGATAACAGCTGGGAAGCAGCAGAGTTTAGTAATGAGCCTACACATTCTCACTCTATTCTCTGTGTTCTTGGTCACTATGTTCTACTGACACCAAAAAAATGTACCACCCCACCACCAATTCTCTGAGATACATCTTAGACACCTCCATGTGTCAAATGCTGGCAAGAATAATGGAGGAGGTAGGTTACAAACAGGTCAGTTTAGCTCCAGGCTCACTGTTCTTGAAAACCAGGCCTTCCTGCCTTATTTATGTGCACCAGGCCACACAAAGCCACTGGGGCTATAGGCATCCATCGAGGCTTACCCAGGCAGCCCTGGCTGGGTGGCTCAGTTTGCTGGAGCATTGTCCTGTACACCAGAAGATTGCAGGTTCGATTCCTAGTCAGGGTGCCTAGGGGAGGCAACCAGTTAATGCCACCCCCCAGCCCCGCTCCGCCTCCTTCCTTCTCTCCACCATGCCCTCTGACCCAAAGACCCAGGCAAACAGGATATACTTTAACCCTAGTTATACCATACTTCTCTACTCAATTAGAGTCTCTTTCCTGGTAATAGTTTCCGCTTGAACAAATCTTTGACGAAAAAAAACCCAAAAACCTTGTATGGGCTACAAGAAAACTAATCACAAATGCTAGCTAGGTAAAGGGAAAATTCAGTTTCTAAGTGCCAGCTGTTAAAAAAGGTCAGGAATCTAGGAATCTGGTATTTAGATTTTTAACAGTAAATAAATTTCATAGCAAATCCTTAAAACACTTATGAATTTAAAAATAAATAACATATAATCATGAGATTTGAACTTACTTCTCTAGTTGAGGATTTGTGTAAAGAATATACTGCTGTTCTTGCCATTTCCAAAGCAGTCTTCAGAAATGTCATATCTACACCTGTTAAGAGAAGAAAAAGCTCTGATTCACATTATATACCTTTTATCAAAATAGAAAATTAAATATCATGTATTAATAAATGCCAAAATAGCCACTTCAAATTCTCTCTGCAGAAAGGGTACAAATAAGTAATACACCTAAATATCTTATAAGGTTAATGGAATAAAACCAGAATTATACTGCCTTATTTGAATAAGGATAAAGTAAACATTTTAGTATTACATTCCAAAGTAATGACTTTGAAAGAGAAGAGAACGGGAGAGAATGGAAGAAGAGAACGGAAAAGGTAGAGTAGTAATCAGAATCAAGTTGGGGTGAGAGGTGCAAGGAGGACTTTCTAAACCATGCATCTTTTCCTCATCTTACTGACTTCTTACTCTCCTTGCCCACAGCATACACAATATAAAAAGCCAGTGAGTCACTGTTACTGAGGGACACATGATGAAACATTCAGGTGTGCTAAGGCATTAAAAAGAGGTTAAAAGTATAAAATACTTTATGGGATTCATAATCATTCATAAGCGTTAAATAAATTGTTCTTAAAACCAGATGAAGTAGAAATAAATGAATAAAAAGATTTTTTTTTATTTAGCACAAATTAGTGAAAACACAGATTGAAAAATTCAGTTCCCTATCCATGAATTAGATAAACTGAAACTGTAATAACTGCAGGTAATGGACTGGTTTATTTAATGAAGAAAGATAAAATCACTTAACCCAATCAACGAGCAAGTGGTTTCTAAAACCAGTACACCTAATTCTTGTTACTAACCTTTATTATTTTTGGTCCCAAAGGGAGGGTTCATAATTACTGTATCAAATGACTTGGACATTCTGTTAGATAATGAGCACACATCACATTGAACCATATCAACATTTGTTAACTCAAACTCTTCCACATTCCTATTAAATATTTCCAATGCATCTTCATCTATGTCAAATCCAACACACAACCTATAAATACAAAACATACACACAGAGTGACTATTTAAAGCTTCCAAGTCAAAATATTAACATAATCAAAACCATATACCTTTTTAAGCCAACTGGCAAAAAGAGTTGAGTGTTTCCTTTCAACAGCATGATTGCCCAACCAGACAGACGCTGGAAACTTAGGTTTGTACGCAAGGGAGACATCTGTCTGCCGCTGTTTCTATTTTGTTAGTTTGCTCTCCTCATTCAATAGGTGCTCATTATCAAATTCTTGCTCCCCTATCGCACACTAAAAAGTCCCATAAATATAATTGGTTGATCCTATTTATGCTTATTAAAGCCATCCCATACCAAATAGTATATACTGGATCACCTACCCTGCTCCTAACATTGCAGTTCCGATGCTAAGTACTCCACAGCCACATCCTAGATCGGCAACCATTTTATTTTCAATGTCATCATATGTATTATGAATCGTATAGAGCATACAAGCTAAAAGATCAAAAAACATATTAGAGAATAAGTAAACAAGTTGAAGACCAAAATTCAATTTGTGCATATAACTCTTTAAAACAATGTCTTGCATTATCTAGTCCTCCCCTAAATGGTATTCTAGATAATGAAAAAAACACTTAAGGCATAATAACTTGGCATGTAGTACGAGGGCCGACAAAAAAATAATAAAATGCACACCAATGATTCCAAAAAATTAGTCTCTGCTGACAATGCCAAGAATGACAAAACTCTGAGGTAAAATGAGAAACATAAGGTCAAATGTCTTATTTTTCTTCAACCTGTTCCAAACATTGCTATACACACATACATGTATCAGTTGTCTTTGATGTTGAAATATTTTGTGGAAGGGTGGTAAGAGTAAATAGGTTTTAAAAATATCTTTCCTTGGAAGCAGCCTAAGTGCCCATCAGTAGATGAGTGGATAAAAAAGCTGTGGTACATTTACACAATGGAATACTATGTAACACTAAAAAAGAAGAAACTTTTACACTTTGCAATAGCATGGATGGACCTAGAGAATAGTAGGCTAAGTGAAATGAGCCAGTCAGTGAAAGGCAAATGCCACGATATCATTTATATGTGGAATCTAATATACATTATAAATTAAAGAACAAAATAGAAACAGAAACATAGATACAGGAAACAGACTGACAGCTGTCAGAGGGGAGGGGGAAGACTGGATGAAAGATGGTGAAGGGATTAACCAAAGAACAGTTTGCATAACCCATGGACATGGATGATGATATGGGGGTTGACTTAGGGAGGGGAGAGGTGGGGGCTAGGTGGAGGTGGGGAAGGGAGGAAAAGCAGGAACCACTGTAATAGTATATACAATAACAAAAAAAACCTTGAGGAAAAAATCAGGAAAATAAAGATCAATTTTAAGAAACAAAAAGAAACTTTCCCTGTTAATATATAAACTTGGCAACCCCATATCAGTGTCCAAAATTATATTGAAATTTTACTGATTTGTGAAATCTGGGAACCACAGCATTAACATTAAAATGGCACAGAACTTTTCTTTGCAACAAATTTGTCACCCAAACACAGGTACCATAAGCTTAAGCTGGAATGGGAAAGGAAAAGACCTACATCCATAAGACAGCCTTTAGACTCACATTCAGGCCCATATGTTTATGATACACAGACACCTGTATTCCTATTCTACTAAGACCAGGTAAGAGAGCTACTGAGTAGAGCAGAAGCTGCTGAGATTGGAAAGGGATATTTCAAATACATGAAGATCTGTGATATACTAAAGGTTATGCATGAATAAGAACACTGCTATTTCCTTAGGGACATCTGCAAGGATTACTGGCCATCACTGATGCCCCAGGATCCAGAGGTGTCATCAAAAACACAATTACAGACATCTCAGGCTGACTGTATTGTCCTGATTATTGCTGCAAGTGTTAGTGACTTTGAAGCTGGTAGAGAATTAGCACAAAGCGATGGCTGGGTAGCTAAGTCAGTTAGAGTCTCGTTCCAATAGCCAAGGTTTCGAGTTTGATCCCTGGTCAGGGCACATAAAAGCAACCAATGAATGCATACTTCAGTGGAACAACAGATATATGTTTCTCTCTGTCTCCCCCTTCCTCTCTCCCTTTAAAAATCAATTAAAAAATAATAAAGTAAGAACTAGCACATGAGTATGAAACTTTTTAAAAAATTGTATTTCATTTAGAAACCCTATAACCAGAAGACACTAAAGAAGTCATTGTCTAAATTGAGTAAACTGGTCTTAACCCAGACACAGTTTTGTGAATATCTGGTTGAAATTATGGCAATATGTTGGCGTTAAGTGCAGGTACACATGTATTTTCCTTGACTTTCACTGGCAGCTTAGAAACAAAACTATGGTGGAGTTGCACGAGTTTCCTCCTTGCAGGTATTGCTGACAAATAAATTTTCCTAAGACTCCCCAGTGACTTTGGTAATTAGAAAGGTTTTCTCCTGTATTCTCTCCTGTATTACTGGTATCAGTCTCTCACATCAAGCAACCCTGCTGATTCTCAGATCATTTGTTAAAACTGAAATGCATCCTCATATTTACATAGCACCTATTCTGGATTTGTTAAACTCAGTCTTTCAGCTAGCAAATCTAGTATTTATTTATAGGACAGAGTAGAGAATAGAAATCTCTGTGCTGACAATTTGTTGCAATAGGAATTTGATTCTTATTTAGCAAATATTTACTGAGCTCCCAACTAGTACCAGAAACTCTCCAGGCAATGGGAATTGTGTGAACAAGCCCTACAAATTCTTTGACCTAAAGGAGTTTACCGTGTAATGAGAGAAACAAACACATTAAAAAGATGTCTGACAGTGTTAAGGGGTATGCAAAAAACGGTAAAATGACAACGTGTCTCTGTGTGGGGGGCGTCTTTAGCGTTGGTGTTAAGCAGACCCTCTAAAGTGATAAGCAATCTTTCAGCAGATTTCTCTAGACGGTCTTTGTATCTAAATAATTGTTCTCATCACAATGGAGTGAGTAGACAAGACTAACCAACCCGCGAAGCAAAGGAGTGGTCACCAGCGGCCCTACCTGCGATGTGAGGCCTGGTGGGATACTGCTCTAGAAGCAGCTTAGGCTTTTCGAATCCATCCACTTGTTGCAGGCGACTCTCTAGTTCCTTAAGCCTTAATTTCTTCATTTTTAAAATAGTGAGGGCTCTCAGGGTTTAAAGGCACTGATCTGCAGAGAAACCTGTTTAACCTGAATTTCTCTTACCACCAACACCCCCCACCCCCGCCCATTTCTCGTCGCCGCTGTCCGAGGAACTGGGCAGGAGACTAAGGACGCGAAAGACACATGTGCCCAGGCCGTTTCCGCTCTTCTACTTGCACTAGGGGCGGAGAGAGTCTTCTGCCAGCCTCTGACCCCCCTGCCTCCAGGGTATCCCGCACCGATCTCTGTATTCTCGGAGACCAGCGGCAGCTACAACCCGCCTTTCATGCCCAGTTTAGGGACATTTCAAGATGCTGCTCGTGCCACGGCCGCGGCCGGAAGCGCCGCTACGCACGCGCGCTCGCTTCTGCTCCCGCAGGTCCCTCGCCGAGCTGCAACCGCGGCCCCGCTCAGCGGTTCCGCAGGCCACTCAAGCGCCTCTTCCACCTCGGCCGTTGCCGGGCCCTCACCAATGGTAGAGCCCGCCCTTCTCGCAGCCCCCGGAGCCGGTCCCTGCCATTACCCTCCAGCTTTTTCTTGAGTACCAGCAGGCTTTCAAAAGATAGGAAAGAGGGTGGAAATCACGGTCATTTTGTTTTAATGCTCAGTGTGGCCCTTTTTGCCTTCTATCTCCTAACTCCCCTCTCAAAAGTAGCAATCCCCTTACCTGTGCCTCCTTGGCCATTGCATGTCCTACTTTATTATAACTTTGTTTCCCTCTTTTTAGGTCACCTGTGTCACCTCAAATCTCACAGGGTGGTGACGTCAGAGAAGCCCAAAGAAAAGAGAATTTAAATGAAGGAATAGGTAGAGATCTCAAATGATGGAAGGAGGTCAGGCTTTCATAGAGTAGGAGCAGAGACCAAGTTGTAGTGGATTTTGAACTGAACGGAAGTTTAGGAAATAGAGTAAATGTGAGCAATTCTTAAGAAACGTAGCTACAAAAAGAGGAGTGAGAATGGATGATGTATTTGTAAGGTTGGGAGAAGGAAGCTAGCTGCCTCTTCTTCCTTCTTCCTTTTTTTTATTCTTCTTCCTCTTTCCCCTCTTTTTTTTCTTTTCTTTTCTTTTTTTCTTTTTTTCTTTTCTTTTTTTTTTTGACGCTAAGAGTGGATGTGAACTTACCTAAATTCAAACAGGTTAAATCTAGTAGAAAGGCAGAGGTTCAAAATACAAGAAAGATATTGGATGGAGTCAGGATCCTGAGAAGTAGGATCCATGCTTAAGTGAAAGGATTGCCTTTACTCTGCGAAATGGACAATTTTCATTATTAAAGGAAGAAAAAGAGGGATGGATGGGTGAAGTACAGGGGGTGTTGTCTGAGGCTGCTGTTTCCTATGAAAAGTAGAATTCTAAGTTATCTATTGGAAGGATCATATAAAGTTCTTGCACATAAAGTTAGTCCCTAAAGTTCTTTGTCACATAACAAATACCCAATGAATGTCAGTTGTTGTTGGAGGAGGTTATCTGTTGAGAAGGAGGTGGCTGGAGTAAGGAGTTAGAATGAAATGGATGACTGAAAGTAGCTGGATGTATGAAAGGAATATTGATCAATCTGTAGTTGAAGACATTTTCTTCTATTAAACATGCATTTAAAATTTTTATTTTGAGATAATTGTAAATTTATATGCAATCAAAAAATAGCACAGAGAGATCCTATATACTTTTTAGTCAGTTTTCCCCAATAAAAACACTTTGCAAAACTCTAGTGCAGTATCACAACTAGGATATTGACAGATAAAATCAAGACAGCATTTCCATCACCGCAAAGATCCTTCATATTGCACCATTTTAGCTTCCTATAAGCAATGTATGAGGGTTCCAAATTCTTCATATCCTCACCAACACTTGCTATCTTCCATTTTTAAAATTATAACCATCTTAGTAGGTATAAAGTAGCAATTCATTGTGGTTTTGATTTATATTTCCCTGATGGTTGGTGATGTTGAACATCTTTCCATATGCTTCTTGACCATTCCTACAGATTCTTTGGATAAATAACAATCCAAATCCTTTGCTTATTTTAAAATTGTGTTATTCATGTTGTTATTGTTGAGTTGTAAGAATTCTTTTTATATTCTGGATACCAGGTCCTTATCAGATACATGGTTTGCAAATATTTTCTCCCATTCTGTGGGTTGTCTTTTTATTTCTTGGTAGTGTCCCTTAGCATGCAAAGATTTTTCATTTTTCATGATGTCCAAATCTATTTTTAGGTGTTATATCTAAGAAAATGCTGCCTATTCAAGCTCATGAAAATTTACACTTATGTGTTCTTTTAAGAGTTTTACAGTTCCAGCTCATACACTTAGGTCTTTCATTGATCTTGAGTAATTTTTTTGTATGTCGTATGAGGTAGAGGTCAAATTTATTCTTTTGCATGTGGATATCCATTTGACTCAACACTATTGGATAGACGGTGCTTTCTCCCACTGAATGGTCTTGGCATCCTTGTAGAAATCAATTGAGCATAGACATATGAGTTTATTTCTGGACTCCCAATTTTATTTCATGATGTATATATTTCTCCGTATGCCAGTACCACACTGGCATACGGAGAAATATCTTTGTAGTGAGTTATGCAATGGGAAGTGTGAGTCTTTCATCTTTGTGCTTCCTTTCAAGGTTGTTTTAACTCTCAGGGTCACTGCATTTTCATCTGAATTTTAGGATCAACTGGCAAATTTCTGCAAAATAAGCAGTTGGAATTTTCATAGAGGTTGAAATGAAACTGTAGATTAATTTGGGAGTATTGCCATCTTAATAATATTAAGTTTTCTAATCAATGAACATGGATACCTTTTATTTAGATTTCATTTAGTTTCTTTCAACAACATTGTATAGTTTTTAGTGTACAAGTTTTACATTTCTTTAACTTTGTTACTAAGTACTTTATTCTTTGATGCTATTTTAAATTGAATTGCTTTCTTAATTTTATTTTTGGATTGTTCATTGCTAGTGTAAAGAAATACAACTGGTTTTTGTTATTGATCTTGTGTCCTGTAGCTTTTCTGAACTTATTAGCTCTAGTTGTGCCTGTATATTTCTTAGTATTATCTATATACAGGGTCATGTGGTCTGCAAGTGGAAACAGTTTACTTCTTTCTTTTCAATCTAGATGTCCTTTTTTCCCCCCTTTGCCTAATTGCTCTGGGTAGAACCTCTAATACAATATTGAATAACAGTAGTGAAAATAGTCATCCCTGTATTATTCCTGACCTTAGAGGGAAAGCTTTCAGTCTTTCACTGTTAAACGTGGTGCTAGCTGTGGGTTTTTTATAGGTGCTCTTTTATTAGGTAGAGGAAGTTTCCTCTGAAACAACATTCTAATGCTCCATCCTTCAAAGCTGACTTTTTTTTCTCCTGAAAGGCAGGAGCAAGGAAGGACTGACAGTTGAGTAGACTCAAATAATAACTTTGACTGAGAGATACAATAGGAGCATGAGAGATGAGTGCAGGTGGTACTGGCAAGAGAATGGTTGTAGTGATTGACCAGAAGTCTGTGGCTACATGGAGAAAGAAGTGAAAACAAAAGGAATGAGACTGAGGGGAACAAGAGTAGAAGGATGAGGACTTAATGATGTTATTTAATAGGTTTAATGGAAGAAAGGGAGCGAGAGATCTAGAATATTAGAGGTTGAGTTCAGTTCAAATAATGGACTCCTGAGGTCTAAGATTTGTATAAAATACACAGGGCTGGAGGTGGGAACCGTGATTGACTCAGCCAGCACAAGCGACATTTGTGAAGGTGATAGAAATGTTCTAAGACTGGATTTTGGTGATGTTCGCACATCTTTTTAAATTACTTAAAATCCTTTGTATGCTTAAAAAATTCACTAAAATGTTGTAAAAGTGGGGAAAATATATTAGAATAAGTATCTACTGAATTCACTGAAATGAGAGCGCTGATAAGACTGAGGGAGAGGTGGTGAGAAGGGTGGGCTGCAATGCAGCAGAATGAGGAGAAGGTCAGTATCTGGGGGCCATCCATGTGGACCCTGAAATCTGCATAATGGTGGTGAGAACTCAAGGTGCAGAGGAAAGCTGTCTATTGCCAACTCTTTAAAAATGTAGAGGCATATAAAGTGCTTCCAAACAAGGTAAAGTTAAAGGAGTTCATCATCACCAAGTCCTTATTATATTAAATGTTGAAGGGATTTATTTAAGAAAAAAAAAAGATCAAAACTATGAACAGTAAAATGACAACAGACTCACAACTATCAACAACTGAACCTAAAAACAAAAACAGAAACAAAAACAAACTAAGCAAACAACTAGAACAGGAACAGAATCACAGAAATGGAGACCACATGGAGGGTTATCAGTGGGGAGGAGTAGTGGGGAGAATTGGGGAAAATGTACAGGGAATAAGTATAATTGGTAGGTACAAATAGACAAGGGGAGGTTAAGAATAGTACAGGAAATGGAGAAGCCAAAGAACTTATATGTATGAGCTATGGCCATGAACTAAGGGGGTGAATGCCGGTGGGAGAAGAGGTGCAGGGCTGAGGGGAATAAAGGGGAGAACAAAATGGGACAACTGTAACAGCATAATCAATAAAATATACTTTTAAAAATGAAGAAGCAAGATTGAATTGTACAGAACATTGATAAAGAGAGTTAAAGAGTGATTTCAGTGGGTACCACAAGAGTTATGGGCAAGTACTTTCCCCACATCACCAGATCTTTTTTGCTTAAACTTCAGTAGATGGATGAGTAAAATTTGCTATAAGTTCAATGGAGTAGACACTGTCCTCATAGTAAGTGGGAGCTACCTAAGATGTGTAATCCCTCCAGTAGACAGTTAACAATTTATGCGAGGAAACCAAAGATAAATATTTCAAAACTTTAGTAAAAACCATTAGCATCTATTGGCAAGGCTACAATAAAATAAAGAAAATTAAAAAAGCAAGACACTATACCAAGTGCTGGAGAGGGTGTGGACCATGTGGATTTCTGACACATTGCTTTTGGGAATACAAATGACCTGGTGTTCTTGGAAAATAGTTTGGCAGTTTCTTATAAAGTTAAACTTACATTTATCATATGATTCAGCAATCTCACCTGTAGGTGAGATTGTATCTCACCTACACTTGTATCATTTACCCATGATAAATGAAGACATATGTCAAAATAGAAACCTATTAATAGGTATTTATAATAGCTTTATTGAAAATCAGCAAAACTTTAAACAACCAACCGGTGATTTGGTAAATGGTGGTACATCCATTCACACCATAGAATACTACTCAGCAATTAAAAAAAAATGAACTACTGATAAATGCAAAAACCTGGATAAATATCAAAAGCATTATGTTAAGTAAAAGAAACCAAACTAAAAAAGCTACATATGGTAT